TGGAACGTGACACCACTACTACTGTACCTTCTCAGTTTAGATGGTCCACTACTCTACGTGTTAACATTGATGTGAGGCTGCAGCTCCTGTGTATAACAGATACAGTCAAGGTCGTTGGAACGTGACACCACTACTTCTGCACCTTCTCAGTTCAGATGGTCCACCACTCTACGTGTTTACATTGATGTAAAGGCTGCAGCTCCTGTGTATAAAAGATACAGTCAAGGTCGCTGGAACGTGACACCACTACTACTGTACCTTCTCAGTTCAGATGGTCCACCACTCTACGTGTTTACTTGGATCTGAGGCTGCAGCTCCTGTGTATAACAGATACAGTCAAGGTCGCTGGAACGTGACACCACTACTACTGTACCTTCTCAGTTCAGATGGTCCACCACTCTACGTGTTTACATGGATCTGAGGCTGCAGCTCCTGTGTATAACAGATACAGTCAAGGTCGCTGGAACGTGACACCACTACTACTGCACCTTCTCAGTTCAGATGGTCCACCACTCTACGTGTTTACATGGATCTGAGGCTGCAGCTCCTGTGTATAACAGATACAGTCAAGGTCGCTGGAACGTGACACCACTACTACTGCACCTTCTCAGTTCAGATGGTCCACTACTCTACGTGTTTTTATGGATCTGAGGCTGCAGCTCATGTGTATAACAGATACAGTCAAGGTCGCTGGAACTTGACACCACTACTACTGTACCTTCTCAGTTCAGATGGTCCACTACTCTACGTGTTTACATGGTTCTGAGGCTGCAGCTCCTGTGTATAACAGATACAGTCAAGGTCGCTGGAACGTGACACCACTACTACTGTACCTTCTCAGTTCAGATGTTCCACCACTATACGTGTTTACATGGATCTGAGGCTGCAGCTCCTGTGTATAACAGATACAGTCAAGGTCGCTGGAACTAGACACCACTACTACTGTACCTTCTCAGTTCAGATGGTCCACTACTCTACGTGTTTACATGGATCTGAGGCTGCAGCTCCTGTGTATAACAGATACAGACAAGATCGCTGGAACGTGACACCACTACTACTGCACCTTCTCAGTTCAGATGGTACACTACTCTACGTGTTTACATGGATCTGAGGCTGCAGCTCCTGTGTATAACAGATACAGTCGAGATGGCTGGAACGTGACACCACTACTACTGTACCTTCTCAGTTCAGATGGTCCACTACTCTACGTGTTTACATGGTTCTGAGGCTGCAGCTCCTGTGTATAACAGATACAGTCAAGGTCGCTGGAACGTGACACCACTACTACTGTACCTTCTCAGTTCAGATGTTCCACCACTCTACGTGTTTACTTGGATCTGAGGCTGCAGCTCCTGTGTATAACAGATACAGTCAAGGTCGCTGGAACTTGACACCACTACTACTGTACCTTCTCAGTTCAGATGGTCCACCACTCTACATGTTTACATGGATCTGAGGCTGCAGCTCCTGTGTATAACAGATACAGACAAGATCGCTGGAACTTGACACCACTACTACTGTACCTTCTCAGTTCAGATGGTCCACCACTCTACGTGTTTACTTGGATCTGAGGCTGCAGCTCCTGTGTATAACAGATACAGTCAAGGTCGCTGGAACTTGACACCACTACTACTGTACCTTTTCAGTTCAGATGTTCCACCACTCTACGTGTTTACTTGGATCTGAGGCTGCAGCTCCTGTGTATAACAGATACAGTCAAGGTCGCTGGAACTTGACACCACTACTACTGTACCTTCTCAGTTCAGATGTTCCACCACTCTACGTGTTTACTTGGATCTGAGGCTGCAGCTCCTGTGTATAACAGATACAGTCAAGGTCGCTGGAACTTGACACCACTACTACTGTACCTTCTCAGTTCAGATGGTCCACCACTCTACGTGTTTACATGGATCTGAGGATGCAGCTCCTGTGTATAACAGATACAGTCAAGGTCGCTGGAACGTGACACTACTACTACTGCACCTTCTCAGTTCAGATGGTACACTACTCTACGTGTTTACATGGATCTGAGGCTGCAGCTCCTGTGTATAACAGATACATTCAAGATGGCTGGAACGTGACACCACTACTACTGTACCTTCTCAGTTCAGATGGTCCACTACTCTACGTGTTTACATGGTTCTGAGGCTGCAGCTCCTGTGTATAACAGATACAGTCAAGGTCGCTGGAACTTGACACCACTACTACTGTACCTTCTCAGTTCAGATGGTCCGCCACTCTACGTGTTTACATGGATCTGAGGCTGCAGCTCCTGTGTATAACAGATACAGACAAGATAGCTGGAACGTGACACCACTACTACTGCACCTTCTCAGTTCAGATGGTCCACTACTCTACGTGTTTACATGGATCTGAGGCTGCAGCTCCTGTGTATAACAGATACAGTCAAGATGGCTGGAACGTGACACCACTACTACTGTACCTTCTCAGTTCAGATGGTCCACTACTATACGTGTTTACATCGATCTGAAGCTCCATTTATCTTTATATTATTTATTATTACTTTATATAGTTACCTACTAGCATGAAGATGAAATAAGTAAATAAATATTCAATGGTTCACATGCCCATCCTCCTTCGGCGATGGAGTTTATTTCCTTAAAAGATGACCCTAGTTCATTTTGTAGTGACTTTAATTGGCCCTTATTACTTCAGTGCATCTAGAGTGCTACAGCTCTTTATGTATGGGTACGATGGCTACTAAATTGTGCGTAAAGTATCCTATTTGTGTTGATTAGCTTTGTCATAACACGGATTTTGGCTATTTCATTATTTCAAAAATTAATAAATACCTATTATAGGATATAAGTGTGGTGTGTTTATACATCGATGGTTGTGTTAAGGAGACTCTGTCTGCTGTGGTGTAGGTCTGGCGAGGTCGTGTGAACCACTGAGTTATGTGATGACGTAACAGCTGCATCTTCTTATCTTCCGTATCCTGTGGACAGTGTCTTGGTCTTGCAGCAATGTTAGATTTTCAACATGTACCGGTTAAAAAGCAGTATGTGTAACAGTTAAAAGTTCCAAGATAAAAACAAATCTCGCGTGTGTAAAAGTGTTCGCTGCGTCAGACAAAATTGTAGTTCTTCGGTAAAAGAATTTCTTATTCTTTTTATGAAACAATACAGTCTTCATTCACAATTGTCTTGTGTTGGTAGGGATATAATTATGCGTGTATATTGTTTGATTTATAAAATAATAGTAACACAATGTAGCCTATTTGTAATTAAATTAATTGACTATCGTGTTGGTTAATTTTTGAAACGAACCGTTTAAACTTGTATTTCGGCGTACACATTGATTTTCTTAATTGGTTATTCCTGATTCCATTTAAGTACGTTAGGCCTGCAATCAAATGCAAGATTATTAAGGGTAATTAATAAGGGGGGTATTATTAAGGGGGTTATTAAGGGTAGGGCAGAGATATTTCTTACACTGTTCGGTAATGTTACATACATCAGCTTCCGCTTAAAGGCACACTCGTGATCTTGATCCAAAATCCTGCCGCTTTTACACCCTCCTGAGAGATGTTTGCTTCAGCCATTAGAATTACAATTTCCGAACATTGTCATTCGCCTGGCTATTTATACTTGTCAAGTAAAATATACTTAGGACCATCCATTCCAAAATGTATTTAATGTTTAACTCTTAATTTAAAATCGCTGCACTGTCTCTCTGATACGATATCGGCGCATTCCAGGAGCCAGCACGACAGCGCGGTGCGCGGTATGTGTACGAATGGTGAGCGCGTGCGTGTTCTGTGGGTCACAGGCTCAGTTGTGATGCATGCCGCGGCCCGTGGTTGCTCATTCATAGCAGATCGTGGCTCGTGGCTAGCTATTGTACAATTACGTGACCAGTGAAACTGTCCAGGCCGCGATATATAGGAAAGTTGCTAAACGATCGGGCTATTAATTACTGTCTGAAAACTACGTCCTCTAAATGTTGAGATTAAGTTCTTAGCATATTATAAGATGAAACTGGCTGCATATCCATGTTTCATAGTTAAGTTAATATTGAGCTTGTTCAAAAGGAGATTTAGGAAAATTTGATATGTATTTGAATATGTATTGTCAAAGTCATTAAGCTGCACTACTTTCTTAAGTCAGTGCTTTATCTAATAGTCCAGGGTGAGTCATGTGTCCGCCGATCCGTCATGTACTTGTGGTGTCGCAGCAATGTTTGCAAATTACCATAAACACAGAATGTACTTTTGGCATATTTTGCTTTGTTCTTCGTCAACTCCTCGCGGAGGCTCCCTGGTGGTTATGAGCACGTCGTGGTCGTCCCTCATATGCTGTGACGGATGGCTTGTTACGCTTGAGGATGGATCGCTCAGTCCCCTGATGGTAACTGACAGATCCGGCGACTGGTGTTGTGAAACTCCAATTTGAAATATGGTACATTCTGTGTTTATCCTGTCGAGTTGAAAAAGTTCTTCAAACAGCTGCAAGCCCTATCAAATCCTACCCTGACTGTTGCCGTATCTTCAATCTAGGTAGCCGTGGCAAAAGATCGTGAGCGAGTGTGAGATGATCGTCTAGAAAGCCATTGCAGGTGTAGATGTAAGTATAGGGCCTACCGGGATCAGACAATTACATTTGGAGAACCCCATGGCTGCTGTTCGTGGTCACGTTTGGAAAGGAATCATCTTCGGTTTGGGAATTGCGTACGAGTATTATATTGTCTGTTGTACGAGTTTCTCTGGGAAATGCGCAGGTTAGGTGACTCGAGGGTAGATCATCTGCTATAGTTTAATTGTTTTTAACCTGGACAATATACTGCCCTAAGAGCACACAACGTGGTTTTTGTCACGTAAATCCAGGAAGAATAGCTATACTAACTCACTCAACACTATACTTATAGGGTAAATTAGGAAAATGTAAATTGGGAAAATGTCCAATGCAGTTAAGATTATCTGTTGTGAATAGAGATAGTAGTGACTTCCAGTTGTTTAACACAAATCTGTTATGTTGCAGGAAACTTGTAAAAACATACACACCAAAGAAAAAGGATGAAGAAGATTACCAGTAAGTATTTGACTATTAATACAGTAAAATCTCAAAACAAGAATTTATTTTCATGGTGCAGTAGCCTCTGGATCAATAAATTTTAGCGAAATGTTTTAGGTTGCCTTACTTCGTCGAGTGTTTTTGCAGTATTATATTCGTTTTCGTATTTGTGTCGTGTGTTTGTGTTGTGAGTGTTCGCAATCACAACGACGGATCTTGCCAAATCGGATGAATGACTGATGTTCTTGTTACACCTGATGATGGGGACTCCTCCAGAATCTGAAACTATATGTAGTAGTGTAGTACAAAAAAAAGATCACTACCGACGAAGCAAGATAACGTAAACCATTTAGCCTAACAATTAGCTTTTGCATAACATTAAAAATTCCATAGCATTTTTATGCTTTGTTAGTAATAAACTTTCACGATGAAGTCTTGGTATTGAGATTTTACTTTAATTAATTCCATGATTAACGGCTGTGTAATTAATCAAGCTTGCATGCGGCATTTTAATGGTTCTGTTGGTTTACAACTAATTATGTGGTGTCTAAATCAATCGAAATCGTTAATTTTTGTCGTAGAGCTATAATTTAATTCGGCTTAGAGAAGTTTCCTCCTGAGTAAGTGATTCGAGATAAAAATATTATAGATTTGCCGGTTCACCTTTCTTCATGGTGATATTGTAGTATCTGGGATACTGATGAATCAATCTGTCAATGGCTGTTAATGGTAATCAATAGATGCACTCGGCAAAGTTCCACCGTCAAAGTGGTGCAAATGCATCGTTTGTCGTCTTATATTGAAGATCGTTACTTTGAACTCAAAGTTAACTGCATGCTCCTGGAAATGCATTTAAATACTGTATATTTCACTGTTTCTTACATACAAATACGCAATGTTACAAAATTAAGTTAGTGGAAAAACTGTCAATATATTTTATTTAAAAAAAAATAGACCACATTTTCAGTCTTTATCATAGCAGTACGTTAGAAACATCCAGTTGGCCTAGGGACAGCGCTCAGCCAGTTAAGGTATATTTAGTATAGACTTAATGCGAATGATACCTGTTATTTTGAACAAAGAATGTTCATGAATAACAACTCGGAGTCAACAAAGTTATAATCTCGGAAACAAATGAAGCCCACCTGTTGAGGCGTTGACACTCAAGCGAGTATTACTTCCTCGACAGTTTAATATTTCTGAAACATTTGTCAAGTTTATTTCTGCATCGAAACAATAAGGGATATATATTCTAGAGATGCAAGTCTAATTGAAACGGTATTTCTTCTATAATCGAGAGAATGATGGGAATGACCCGAGCGTTATCGTAGAATGGCACTCACTTGACTCAGTTTATTGTAGTCAGAGATGTTATCTCTATCTGGGTATGAATGTTAGTACAAGTTTATTCATCGAAGTAATACATTGCATACATCTTCAAAAGTAAATCATTAACTCGGACTACACAAGCATAACACTGTTGTATATCCTCAGCGGTGTTCGGGTATCCTCACATCCTCCTCTAGCTAAGCCCCTTAGGCCGGGGCCACACTCATCTTATCTCGCTGAATTTTTGGACGTCATACGTTCGAATTAAATGCAAATAAATTACTAGGAAACGACACAGTACACTCTACGTAAACTGGAAATACGTTAAAATTGTCTTCAATGGATCCGCAAGACGAAAATCCAAAAAAAGTGGTTAATCCACAACGAAACTAAGTTGAACAATCAATCGAATGGTGGGTTTGTACCTGTTTTCTACAACGGAGAACTACGTTATTTTCTGCCGCATGTTCACCCCGTCTAAAATCACGGGTAAAGAAATTTGTCTCTAGTATAGAGTAGTGCCAAGTTATGACCAGTGATAGTCGATCTACTCCATCATTCCATTGCCAGTTCCAGTTCCCTAGGTAATCATTATTCCAGCCAGAGGCGAGGTGCGTGCAGCGTGCAGCGCCATCCTCACTTCTCACACAATTTTATCTTCTGTCTGTCTATATCTTTAGGGTTTATAGACTTGTCTGTCAAGAGTGTCCAAAAATAAGCATCAGCAGCGTTTCAAATAGGCTTTGTTCTCAGGGTTAGATTGTAGTTGGTTGTATAATATACGTTTTATATTTAGACCTTTACTAAAGCTGTATCAATAAGTAAATTCTGGAGTACCATCAGTGAAAGAGACTTTTACATCACAATATGCTTTAAAGTTATATTTCCTTCACCTAATCGAAGGTCTGATAGAAGATTGTGACCATAGTACGAACCTCGCTCGAGAAAATGTTGGGTCCATCATCGTCTCTTCCTAGGTTCATTAGCCCCATGGTTCAGAAATATGAAGCCCGCACAGGATATAACAACGTTTTCCCGCGTTGCTGTGTAGCTACTACTGGTGTGTATTGTGTGTTGGTAGGTTGGTAAGATCGATGCCTCTCTACTCTTCACACACTGACACTCCACGGCGGGTCAAGAGAGCATCGCGTCTCCATTCAAGTACACTCATTCTATGTCGAAACTTGCTAAAAAATCTCGATCAAAACCATCATAATTTGATAGAGTTCGTTTGCTATCCTAATATGTTTTTTGTGCATACGAGTTTGCATTGAGCATTAAAAATTACGAAATAGAACCCGATAAATCTATTCATTGGGAGATTGACTTCCTTTACTATTGTGTCACAAGTGTAACATGTTGCATAAAACAAGTGGTGTGATTGTAGCAGAGTGCGACTCCCATAGAGATGTACAGCCGGTGACGTCACAGACTTGACCCTAATCGTCTTGTCAAATTAGTAATTTCCTCGACGGACAAGAGTAGTGACTCCTCCCTCCTCCTGCTTACAAACGCACACACACACATCCAACTATTAGAATGTATGATTCGTTTCTTTATCATCACGTCATACACACACAAACGTCTTCACGGTGATGACAAGTTTTTGTTGTTTGAGAAATATTGCAAACAAATCCCCCAGAGAGCACAAAATAGAAAACAATTTCTATTCTTTGCTCTCTGAGATCCCCCTACTGTTTAATACGGGGTTGGTTTACGCAATAATAAAACAACGAATGTTTCAAGCAATCATCGGAAAAATTACAAAAAAAATGTAAAGTTAAAAATTTGAAGGAAGGTCGGATGTTTGCTGAAAAGTATGCTTTGTGCTCAATGTATCTATGCTTTCGATTCAGATTCTGTTTTAGGTAGCTTAATAAGTTTAATGGCCCTGGCTATCAGGCAATTGATCTTGGTTGTTCCAGTCGCGGACACGGCTCCCATATTGGTTAGTTGGCAGATTTCGTGACGTCACGTTTCACCTGGGGGTGATTTTTCGGGGGGATAGTATTCCGCATCCCCAACAAAGTGATTGGTTAAAGAAGCTGAAATGGCGAAATATGTTCTGCACCATGCTGTGTGCCGTGAATTGATGGAACTTTAGCAATAATAAATGTCATTAAGTTAAATTAAGTCTGTTTCGAAATTTTCACAGTAAAAAAATAATTATTTAGAATTTATCTGTTGCCGCTGCCGCATGCTCTAAACCACCCTGCAGTATTCATTGAATGTTGTCTTGTTCTGTGAGAATGTCCAGCATTTAGATCGCTGGAGATTGTGATCATTGCAGCTTCACAGGCTCGCTGGCTCCGCGCCACGGATCTGCTATTTCTGCGCGGATCTGTTGACATTGTTGGCTGGAATTGTCGTTCTGTATTCTGGAGCCTCTCTTCCTTGTTATGTACATCACGACTCTCAGTTGCTCATGATGCAAATCTGAGTGTACCATTGCATCGTCCCCATCAATTTCCAGTCGTATCCCTCATTATTTTGTTATCTTTGTCTTAGTAAGTTTTTACTCGTTTTTAAATTAATTTAAAATAATAATGGGGGTTGGTTAAATAAATGTTTTATATCGTAGTGCTTTTGTTTGAGGGAATTTTCCAATACAGAGAAAGTTGACTTCGTGTAAGAGGGTTGGTGGGATTTGAACCCGGGATTTTTAGGATAAAAGTCCCGCACTATGATATCTCTTAGACATGCCGCAGCTCTGAGCCTCATTTGATAGTCACGAGTTAATTTACGTACTAGCAGATAACATTGGTTAATGGTTGTAGTTTGGTGGTTATATTCTTGCATTTTCGATCCTAGCTGTCGTCATATTAAGTAACTATATGGTCTATTCAAAGAATGGAAACTAATACAGTGTCATAAAATAACACATCATAATTTCTCATTTTGTCCTAAACGTACCTTGCTTTAGTCTGAATGGTTCTAATGCGATTTTACAATAAGCATACTTAATGCGTTCCCGCAACCCTGGTTTATTGGTATAATCTTTTCTCAACTTTCTCTACAAGCACTTTTCTTTAGTTTGTTTCGTCTCAGTAGCAATGCCACAATACCATGCCGCAGCTTGGCGATACAAGCCTTTGTCAAGACAAGTAGCTACTGTGTGTTTGTTTGTTTGACGCTTGTTTGTTTACGAAACTGTCACAGTTCGTCTCGTTTGTTGCGTCACAGCCTTCTCCAACCTGGCCTCATGGATTGTTGACATTTGAATTATTTAATGTTTCTTCAACGCTGAGTGTTTGCTCTGGCCTATTTTGTGTTCTAATTGGGGTATTTTACGTGGTGTTTTGAAACTTCGTAATCTATTGACATAATGAAGTGTTTTTTGGCTTTTATGTGTTGCTGTGTACAGAGCTAAAGTTAAATTAAACCTCGAATGCTACGGTTTTTGGTTTGCATTTGGTCTATTCATGATTTTGAGAAGGACCTATTTAGCTTGAGGATGTGTTTGGAATATATTGCTTTCTTCTGACTGGGGTGTTTTAAGAGACGATGTTAAACTTATTTAGGAATAGTGTTTTTGGTCCTTGTATTTGTTCCTTTCAGCTGAGCATAAGTCCAATCGAAACTCTGAATGCCAAGCCATTTCGGTGAGCACGGAGTGGCTTAGTCTCGGATGTAGAGAATGCGTTCTCACATGACGTTTCAGTGAGGCCTGTTCTTTGACTTTGTCAACA